AAACACCCTGGACCCTGTCTATCACCAGGGGAACGAGGGGTGGACAGAGAGAGGGCATATACAGGGGGGCGCAGTTCTTCCGGTGAGCGAGCGCGGCAGCTTCTGCTCCCTGCCAGCTGGATAAAAGCCTTATCCTGTCACCGCAGTGAAGCGGCTAGCCTAGAGCGCAATGGGAGCTTGCAGCTTGCTCAGAGTCTGGAGCAAATTTCCAGTTCAGGGTAGATTTCCTCAATGGGGTGGTGAGTGCTAGTTTTTAATGGATGGGCACAAGCTGTATGCTAAGTTTATATTAAAATAAGAGGGGGGCAGGCTGTAGTGGCGCACGCCTTTAACCCTAGCATTTGGGAGGCAGAGGCAGGTGGATCACAGTGAGTTCCAGGACAGCCAGGACTGTTACACAGAAAAACCCTGTCTTGAAAAACAACAACAACAACAAAAAAAACAAAAAAAAATCGGGAAGGAAGGAAGTAGGAAGAGAGGGAGGGAGAGAGAAGGGGGGAGGAGGAAAGGAGGAGAGAGGGAGGAAGGGAAACAAAGTATAACAGGAAAATCCTGTCACAGAGCAAATGCTAAAGGTGACCAAATAGATTATCAATTTTTTTTTTTTATAAAAATATACATCAAAGCCACCTTCTATAAAACTAGAGACCACAGTAGAAACACCAGAACTCACTGGAAACTGGGTGAGCTGATAGAAATGATACATGAGCATGTAGAGACCTGAGGCTAAGTGGAAGAAAGTCGGGAATGCCACCACAGGAGGATGGGTGAGGTGTGCTCTCAGTGTAGAAGGAAATCCGGAATGCCACCACAGGAGGATGGGTGAGGTGTGCTCTCAGTGTAGAAGGAAATCCGGAATGCCACCACAGGAGGATGGGTGAGGTGTGCTCTCAGTGTAGAAGGAAATCTGGAATGCCACCACAGGAGGATGGGTGAGGTGTGCTCTCAGTGTAGAAGGAAATCTGGAATGCCACCACAGGAGGATGGGTGAGGTGTGCTCTCAGTGTAGAAGGGAGTCGGGAATGCCACCACAGGAGGATGGGTGAGGTGTGCTCTCAGTGTAGAAGGAAATCCGGAATGCCACCACAGGAGGATGGGTGAGGTGTGCTCTCAGTGTAGCGGTTTGCATTCCTTAACTACCTCTTCAGAAAGCTGGGCTCTGACTGGGCACAGGGGCCTCTGGTACCGACTTTTGCCACCCTTACGAACACTACAAGGAATCATGGAAATACATTGATGATGCATCTAATTCAAACCAGGAAAGGAACAAAATCCAAGGGATTGAAGGAAAGAGTTAAACCGAAGGCAAAATGTGATGTCAGAGACCCAGAGTGGGAATAATAAGTAGACACAACTGATAATTTCTGGGGGAAAAAATAAAAGCAAACCACTAATAATCTAATCACGGAAACGTCAGTAACACAAATATATCAAGGAATGTATATTAGGGATGTGTTTAGAAACTGAGAAAATAAAAGAATTAATCAAGAGATTACTTGATTATATGCAAATGTATTTAAACTTGGATTAAAAAGATTGTTTTTCTAGGAAAAATACAAATGGTAAAAGTGAATTCAAACAATCAGACAGAAACATAGCTGAGTTGAGAGTTGAGGATTGTAGAGACCATGAGAGCATCAATTTCCCTGAGGATGAGAATTCAAGAGATGATGATTTCCTCCTTTTATATTGACTTTTGCGATATCCCAGAAACCATCAGGGTTTCCTCAGTTAGAAGCAGCGGTAATTAAGACCCAAGGGCCCAAAGATCCAGATCTGGATAAAGGAGACTGGCTTGGGGCATCGGAGAATGGGAGAGGGAGAAGTCACCCCAGAGACGACTAGGTGAAACTTGTACCCTCACTAAAATCAAGGTTGCCCACTGTAGACCTTTATTATACAACCCTGCTTCTCCCCCATCATTCTCGGTCATTCCAGCCTATTTCCTTTTTCCATTAAGAAATATTCATCATTGTTGGTAGTTGTTTGCTGACTTGTGAACTGTTGGGCCCTTCTATGAGAACAGAGACCTCATCCTGTTGAATGATGCTAGCTAGACCTTAAACATCTGTTGAATGAGTAAGTGGGGCATTTTGGTGAAGTAGCGGCAGACAATAAAGAACATGGTTACCCAAGTCATCCTTTGTTTTGCATTGTGGGGCTTCAGCAAATCTGGGGCAACTATAGGCTTACAGGAGAGAGAGTGTACGAGGTCTGTCTGGGTCAGAGAGGCTAGGGCATTGGTTTTCAACCTTCCTAACCCTACAAATCAGTGGCTCTCAACTTTCCTAATACTGCAACCCTTTAGCACAGTTCCTGATGTTATGGTGACCTCCCAACCATAAAATTATTTTATTGCTACTTTATAACTGTAACATTTATAACATAAATGACATGCAGGATATCTGATATGAGAACCTATCAAAGGGGTCATGACCCACAGGTTGAGAACTGCTGGGCTAGAGGGACAAGTTGGAAAGACTAGCTACATGTCAAGACATGATAGTTAATAAGAGGAAAATAAGTATATTTTATACTTTGCTTATGAAAAGTCAATATAAATAGTAACAAGCTAGCCAGGGTTGGGGGTAGGTAGGGGTGGGGTGGGGGTGGGTAGGAGTGGGGTGGGGGGTGTTGAGGGTGGTGGCACATGCTTTTAATCCCAGCACTTGGGAGGCAGGGACAGGTGGATCTCTGTGAGTTCACAGCCAGCCTGGTCTACAAAAGCAAGTTCTCAGACAGCCAGGGCTATTACACAGAGAAACCCTGTCTTGAAAAATTAAAAACAAACAAACAAAAAAACCAAACAAAACAAAAAAGCAGTCAAAAGCTAACTCCACCTGGTTTTCACGCAATGCCTTAAGAAACCCAGACTCAGAGATCTTGATGAACAGCAAGCTCAAAATGAAGGATGATTACAATGTGCAGTCCAAACCCACACGCTGCAGTGGGTGACCCTGGCAGGATCGGCTGTCTTCATGAGGACAGGGCAGGCTTGCTGAGCTGAGGACTGGCTTCTGAGTGCTATACTTGAGTAAGCACAGAGTTAAACTTGGGCGTATTGAGAAGAGAGAGCCACGGGCCAATAAAGAGGCTCAAAAATAAGTTAGGTGGGGGAGCAGTTAAAGGAACTGGGCTATTTTGCTTGAAGAAGGAAAACTTAAAAGAGAAGTGATAACATCATCCAGCTGCTGAAAGGGCTGCCATGTGGAAGGGGCTGGAGCCGGTTCTGAATCACCTTGAGGGTGTAGCTAAGAATAATTGACAGAAACCAAGGGCTGAGCAGATTTCAGCTCTACACAGTGAGGACTTCGGAGCTGTCAGAACTGCTGGAGAGAGAGGGAAGGCAGAGAGAGCCTGTCAGCTCAGGGCTCAAGGACATACAACACGCTCACACTTAGCAGCGTTGGACACAGTCCCAAGGACCACACCAGATGTCAGACTAACTGGCTTCTGCATCTTCCCCTCACATGGGAACCCATGATCAACAGTGACCTTCGACTTGCCATTTCCTTCATGAGACTCTTCACGTGAACATGTTTCGTCAACTCAAGCATTCGACCAATGTAAGGCATTGTTCCATTTTTTAAATTATCTTAACTCTGCCTCATCACCATAATCTCTTAGTTTCTTCAGCCTTATAAAGATTTTAATGTGTCAGTGTTAAATTTATATTATTATGACTATTATCCAATTTTTTTGAAATGCTTCATAAAGTAGTTTTTCATCTTTTACTAAGGAAAAGATATATTTCATATGCCAATCATGGTCCTGGCCTTAGGGTGCAAAAGGCTGGAATAGTTCAGTTTGCATGTATCACCTCATAGGGCAGAACTTACTGATATCAATAGTTTTCTTACAAGAAAATGTGTGTAAAAATGTTTCTGCATTAGTAAAGAATAAATCAACACATCCACTAATAAAGAAACTCCACTTACTGTGATAAAACTTGACTAGGGTCCTTTATCTGGCATCTCATTATGTCCCAATCATTTTCAGGCAATGAAAATGTGACATTGGGTGGCATGGCTAACTTACCACAAGATATTATGACTCAGAAGAATTGCCGGATAAATGAAGGGTTGAATTTTTTTGTTGTGGGGGCTGGAGAGATGGCTCAGCAGAGGACCAGAGTTTGGTTCCCAGTGCTCACATCAGGTGGCTCACGACTCCTTGTTACTCTAGCTCTAGAGAGATGGGATATCTCTGGTCTCCTGCATTTTTGTGCTCATACTCAACACACCATTACACACACACACACACACACACACACACACACACACACACACACACACACACACACACCATAATTGATCTTGAACTTTACCTGAGACGTCCGACATATCTTCTCCACCAAATTCCAATATCATGACTATGTAATAGCTCGGGAAATTGATATAACATGTTGTTTCAATTTTTCCCCACCTATCTAGGACTTGGCAGGGAGGGACACAACCAAGGTGGCTGATCAAAAAGAAAAAGGAACCGAGATGAAAGGTAGCTGGATATACACTCAAACCTGTTCTCCACACTGTTTGTGTTATGGATGTCAGCAGGATATCTGTAGAGACACGTCTATGACACACCTTCACATATCACAACTACATTACCCTAACAACGAGTACCGAGGAAAACTGTGGTTTTCATTCAAGCCAGGCATGCCCAAGAATCAATGGGGCCACCAGTCATTGGCAACTCTCTTGTTTACAGGCTCAGATCCCCCTTCCCATCTTTGTGGAATGCTTGCTAAAACCACAACACAATGGAACCTGTCTCCATTAACCCTGCCGAACGGTCTGCTTCATATCCACCTAAGCTTTCTATATGGAACACTTACTTGGCCATCAGGAGCCTATCAATGTGTGATAAATGCCCATGACTTACAAGAAGGAGAGAATTCCAGGCCAGGAGGAGAAAGTGCTCAGGTTGTTCAAGGTGGACATGAGATATAGGTTACCAAAAGACATTCTGCACATGGAACAAAGGCAAATCTTCCATACCTTGACTCCCATAGCTGGCATCAATTCCAGACCCATCCCAGGAGTCCACAGCACTGTCCACGCTGGGCACCGTGGAGGGGTACACATCAGAGAGCTTGCCAGGCTTCTGTATTGGGGAGGAGTCCTCTTCACCATCTCCCAGGTCACTCGAGTGGCTGGGGATGGGGAACTTCTTGGGACTTGATGCTGATTGGGCTTTACAGACAGGGAAAGAGGGTATATGCATCAGTGTAAATTCAAATAAAAAGATCCTCGAATATTCTAGCTGGAGAGTCATTTCCCTAGAAACACACACAGATACTAAGCACATTCTTTTAGGGAAGGAAACACACTGGAAATTCTTAATTGGGACTCTCGTCCCACTCACCATCTGTCTGTTTCTTAATTTTCAGGGTGACAGTCTCTCCTGCCATCTGTAGCAAGTGGATGGCTTCACTCAGAGGCTTTCCCTTCAAGCTGCTGCTATTGATGGCTAGGATTCGATCTCCGATGTGGATCGCTCCAGTCCTGGAACACCAGACAGAGGTCAGGAAGGTAGATACACCAGTCAGGGCTAGGGAAGGGAGACACAATTCCTGCATGCTTCTTGGGGTCAATTTCCCAATATGCCTGCACATTAATTATAATAAAGACTTGATGAGGTCTCTAAAATTCACTTCTAGATTGCTCTTGGGAAATTCCGTAAATGCATCTGTTGTGAATTACTTTTTAGTAATTTCCAATAAAATTAGAAAGAGTGTCTTAATTAGTTTTGAGAATGGACTTGGGTATTTTTTAAACTCCAAGAAAGCTGCATCATTTGGTAAACTCCTTACAGGTCCCCAGGAAATGAACTCGGAGGGGCAACAGTTGTAGCAGTGTGTAGCAGGCAACATTCTTGATTCCCACGATTTAAAATGTTTAATGCAAAGCGGTGCTCACTTTAAGACAAGTTCAAGAGATTGGGGCAGACAATCAGACCAGACAAGAGCTGCAGCAGCCTTTGCCTCATTCTCAGGGTTGAGAAGGATGAACGGAGGATTATTTAGGGCTAAGTTTAAGTCTGTCTCTGTCACCCACCAGGTCAGCTGTGTGATGACATGGTCACCTTATTTTAACCTCTCTGGGTATTAATTTCTCACCACTAGAATGGGAGTGATCATCTCAAAGGGAAGTCCCGAGGATGCGATGGAAAACATGTATAAGAGCTTGGTTTGAAATGTGGATAAAGAAAACACTCAACCACTCAACTGATTAATCAATTTTTGGGTGTGTGGTCTATGTATATGTTTGTGTATGCACATACATGTGTGTGGGGGCATGTCAATGTCAGAAGCCAACACTGGGTCTCAACCACCTTCTACCTCATTTATCTATCTATCTATCTATCTATCTATCTATCTATCTATCTATCTACCTATCTATTCACCTACCCATCATCTATCATCTGTTGTTTCTACCTATCTATCTATCCATTTCTCCATCTATCCATCTATCTATCCATCCATCCATCCATCCATCCATCCATCTATCTCTATTGATTTATCGATTTATTATTATTTAAGTCCCAGCCTTTTACTGAATCTGGAGCTCATCAATCTGCCTAAGCTGGTTGACCCTGAGCTCTAATGGTCCATCTCTCTTAGTGCTCTGGTGCTGTGGGGATAGATGCACACTTCTGCCCCTGACTTTCACATGGTACCTGGGATGCAAACTCTGCATGCCTGTGCAGCATGTGCTTTGCCAAGGCATCCATCTCCCAGCCCCAGGAAAGATATCAATTTGCTGATTAATACACCGAATAGCTGTATCTTTCAACCCTTCTCTTTATACCCTCATCCCGTCTCAAAGAGTACACTGGAATGTACAATTCTGATGTTTATGTGTCATTGTTCGGAAGCACAGAAAGGGACAGGAGAAGACCATAGATGATTGACAGTGTCAATCATCTTTACCCTGAGATAGAGTCAAGCCTAAGTACAAATGTCACACCTTGGCTGCACTGGGTCTCTTTATAAGTTCAGATAACAAAGGAATTAACCCTGTTTACAAGGTCGCTGGGGACTGGGTGCTTTGACCACAGCTTGTTGTAGGGCCGTAGTCTAGAGGACAGAGGTGGTACAGTGCACTGGTCAGGAGGGGCTGCTTAACCTGTCTACCATTGTAGTTTGAGTTATGGAATTTTTCTCTGAAAAAAAAAAAAACCTTCTCTCATAGAGAGTATTAGTTCAAGAAAGATGTAGGTTGTGATATCTAGGTGCAAAGAAACATTTTTGCTGAATCCTTCGTTGTCTAACAGTAACTAACTAGGAGGGGGTGGCGGGGGGATGCCTGAAGAGCATACACCCTCTCCCAGGTGTCTCTGCTAAAATCAGAATATTAAATCCCAGTCGAGTAGCCCGGGCTCGCTACCTCAGCCCCCTCATCCGACAGACAGAACTGTCAAGTGAGCTCTGCCTTCTAAATAAGGGACCTTGTAGTTCTGAAACTCTGCAGCGCTACATTCCTATCTTGCAAATGACCGTCATCAAATGTCAGCCTGAATGATGTGCCTGAGCATTCTCGAGCTAAGTCACTGGAAAAATAAAGTTATAGAGTCTGTTGTGTGCCCAGCAACATGCCTCAGGGGGAAAAAAAAGTGCAGTTCAGCGGAGGGAGGGCAGAGAGCAGGTGGGGCCTGTGTATCCCTGTCAAAGAACAAATGGAGAGTGCTCAACAAGCCACTGTTGAGAGGGTGACTACACTCTGTCAGCTGTAGGCTTTGAGGACCAAGTCTTCATTATCGTCCCTGCAATACAGAGACGCTTAGTCCAATACCTGCCAGGCAACAGAAAGCTCAGCAAATGTTTGCAGAATTGATTTGGACAAGCCTTTTAACCTCCCTCAACTTTAGTCTCCTCTTCTCAAAATGGACATAGTATCAATCTACCTGCAGCCGACTGTGGTCTCCCAACACATTTTCTTTTTTAAGAGAGTAATACCCATGCTAAGCCTATGGCATCCTTCACCGCCTGTTAAGATGCCCTTCAATGTCAAGTCACAGCTCTGCCTGAGAGTTACCAAGCTTGAAAATCAATCCTCTGTGCAGATTTAAAAGTCAACAGATAAACAGCCACGAGAAGGGAGCATGTTTTCACACAGCTGTGAGGGAGCAAGCCCCTCTCAGCCACAGGTAATTATAACAGTTCCTTCAAATTTTACCTTTCAGCTAATCCCCCTTTAGTGAGGCTTGAGATGATTATAGGATCAAAGGGCTCTTCAGTTCCTGAAATTGTGATGCCAAGGGGCCCCCCATAGCGCTTCAGCTCCACTGTATAAATAATCGCTCCGGAACTTTCTTGCTCATCTGCAGTAAATGCCAAGGAATCGTAATTGGTTTCGTTGCAAAAAGAAAAATAATGCATATATTCCTCTGTAGAGCAGGAAATCTGAGACTTCGCTGCTGAAACACTATGGCTCAGAAAATAATTATTTCAAGAAGTAGCATTTCCGTAATAGGATTTCACATTCTAATTCAGGGATGAAGTTGTCATGAGCGCCAGGGATGGGGAACGCTTGTATTTAACCAGTGGGTGGCCCACCTAACGATGGCCACAGAACCTCCATGTTATGTCTCTGCCAGGCACAGTGCTTGACCAGCCTTTCTCTAAGTAGGTGATCAATGCCCATGGAATAAACACACAGCTGAGTAGACAATACAGAATGAGAATGCCGCTCAGTAACTCAGAAAACTGTCCATTTCCAGGATTTACAAACACACCATTTCTCAACCTAAGGAAATCAGTTTGCTCAAGGTTGGACCAAATGATAATACTTGTTTACACTGGACCCAAAGAGGTTATCTTAAAGACAATACCAGGATTTTAGAAAATTTTTTCATATAATTCCATTGACAGTGTCTTAGTCCCATTGATCAACCCAGGGGCATTGGAGCATAGGTTTGAATAATGCTGTCTCTGCTACAGAGTAAGAGCTGATGCTAACTATTCATACATTTCAGGAACCTCTACCAAGCTGCCATATAGTCATGTGTTCTGTAGGCCATTTAATAGTGGTAAGAAAGGAGACATTTCTGTTCTTCTTCAAACATTTGTCAGAAAGATTTCCTAAGACACTTTCAACACGGTGGGTGCCATGACTTTGTTCGGGTTGCATGATAAAGTCTCAGGATCAAAGGATTTTTATTTGCTTATGTTTAGAATTCCTGCCATTTGTTTTATCTGTTGGCCTGAGAGCTGTGAATGGTTAAGGAGCTGTTTCATTTCTGTACCTCAGGATACAATGAAATGGTCCAGTAACTACTTGAACAAAATAGTCAGTTTTTACAGTCAGAGTATACAGAGTAAGGTATTCACGGAGCCACATTTTTTTTTGCAGTAAGCAGCTGTTCATTTACGATATGAAATGCTCAAATAAGGAGGCAAAGAAAAGCTTGAGTTAACAATTCAATTATCTGTGTGTGCAGTGAAGAATTAGGGGGAACATAAAAGGCAAGGTCAGGGGAGTAATGTGGGCAGGGATGTGCCCTCTCTTATCAGCATTTACTTTATTCTTGGCCATAGCCTGGGAGTTCTGGAATGCAGCCACCGCCACTTCCCACGGGCTCTGCTCCTCACCAGTTCCTCATGCTGGGAATCAAAGACCACCCACCATAAGATGCAACGCTAGAATCAACGCCTTAGGTTATAAAAGTACTCAGTATCTGGCTCAAGTGGGATCAGCAGCTTAGGCTCCTCCACATCATGTTGAAGAGCTCTGGGAGATGGCCCCCAAGTTTCTTCTAGGCTGCAGCTTACGTTGTGGTGAAAAGGCCGGTCAACATGAACTACTCAGGGCTCCAGAGAGAAGCATCAGGAGATGGTTTAGTGAATTCAAGCTCAGAAGCCCACATTTTCTGATAGTATAGTATCTTGTTACCTGCCAGAGCTGTCTTTGATCTAAACGAATTAGGGATCTAGTGAGTAGACTATATTTCTGTTGCAAGCTGCGTCAATAATTATATTCTGGATAGAATCTGGAATGATTCATTTGATTAGAGACCCTGACATAATTAAATAATAGCTAATATCATTTATTTCTGCTGGTTTTCCGCTGGCTGCTCTGTTAGGAGGGTGTGCTGTGGGGCAAACCTTGACCTTTCTGTGTGCTCCATGTAATCTGCATGTGAGAACAAGCACCAGGCACCATCTAGATTGAGGCATTAGCTTTCTATGAGAATTGGGAAAATGCAGTTAAAAGCCACAGGTGACCCAGGGATTTTTGGAAAAGTTTTAGGTGAAGCTTCAGCCTAGATTAAAACACTGGCTGAGAGGTAGGTGAACTCGGAGGCAGACCCACTTGCTGAAAGGAGTGGGGAGACCTTGTCCAGTTAGTTTGTCCTTACATCACAAAAGGACAAACAACACAGAGGACGATGGAGTAGATGGATTTAGGATAGTCGCGTTTCAGGCTAGCTTACATGGGGACATTTTATATTAGCACCTGGGTAGTCGGTAAAGAAGACAAATGCTGGGCACTCAGTGTGTGACATAGATACAAAACAAGAAAATGGCAACATTATACTTAAAGCACATTCTTCAAATGGCAGTGGCAAGGCAAAAAGTAGATCTATGGGGACTCTAAGGTAAACAAACCAATTGTTTAAAAAGTAGATTTCAAAGCTGGGTAGTGGTGGCGCACACCTTTAATCCCAGAACTCAGGAGGCAGAGCCAGGTGGATCTCTATGAGTTCAAGGCCAGTCTGGTCTACAGAGAGGCACTAAAACTACACAGAGAAACCCTGTCTTGGAAAAAAAAATACATCTCAATTATCTCTCTCTGTCTCTCTTTTTCTTCGTTCATTTTCTTGTTCTCTCTCTCTCTCTCTCTCTCTCTCTCTCTCTCTCTCTCTCTCTCTCTCATATATATATATATATACCACACTGCTGGATATCAGGAACACTGCTGAGATACATGTCGATATTAAGATCGCCGTTAATACTTTTAACTGGGTTACATTTCCAGGGACCTTCCTTTAGGGATATTGTTAATGTTCATAGGACGGGACGCCTGGGACTACTTCCAGATAATTCAGAGGGAGGAGAAACTAGGCAGAGAATTAGCAAACCATGGCTGTTGCTGGGAGACGCCAAGATGGTCCACGGCACTGTTTCTGTTTTCTGTACGGACTTGAAATTTCATAATTTACAAACTGTCTCTGTGCACAATTTTACTAACAAGGTAAAAACAAACAAACAAACAAAAAACCCACAACACTCCTAGAAATGTCTACACAGATGCCTCAAGTAACTAGGTGTTTGATTAGCCCGCTCAAGTAAATAGGTGTTGGATTAACCCGCTCTTACTTCCCATTGGTGGCAGCGGCTGCCCTTACATGGTCCCATGTAAACCACATGGCCCATCTGGCTATGAGGCAAGGTGCCCAGGCCTCCCTCTGTGACTTGCTCTTGAGGAGGCCCCAGCTGGCTCTACCTAGTTTTTTACAAGTAAAGTTTCCTTCTAAATGGTTTTCCTGTTTGGGACCCGTCCTTCACCCTCCTTTTGCATCCAATTTCACTAGTGCCGCCAACTCATGAGGCTTGGTCTTTCTTCCTGGAGCCTCTTCAAAACACCAATCTGAATAGAGTGCAATCTTAGGTGAAGCCTTCTCATGAGTTCACCAACTCCTTAATAGATTTCAACCAAGCCTTTGCAAGAGCGGAGTTCCAGAGGGCCTCTCTGCCCTCTTCTATTTCAACCCAAACCCCAGAGTCTCCTGGAAGACTCACAAGTCCTTGCCTGGCCCTTTGAGGATGATTAAAGTCTTCAGACTTTAACCCCTATGTACCCATCTCTTCCATCTTGTGCTCCTGGGGAATTTCTCCTCCTACCTCAAGACTTGACCTGTGTTTGCCTTATTTTCCGAGGAAGTTTCTAGTCTCTGTGTGGGACTTATTTTCCGAGGAAGTTGGGTTTGGGTGTGCTTGCCTGGGACATCTCATAGCTTCTGTCTATCATGTTAGTGTTTCTCACCTTTAGCTCCCCCTTTAACTAAGAAGAAAAAAAATAGTTTACATTTTCTTGAATGAAAGCGATTAAAGGCTAAGGAATAAGATTCAGCCAAGTAGAGCTGACCTTTGAAGTCCACATGCTACTGCCACACAGTGCCTCAGGGTCTTTCATCCCAAGGACCAATTTTTGACAAGATCCATCTTCTGGTGTATACTTTCAATTGTGTGTATACACACACACACACACACACACACACACACACACACACACATATATATATTTAATGTACATGGGTGTTTTGCCTTCACATATATATGTCTATGCACCACCTGCATGCCTGGTACCCAAGGAGGCTAGAAGAGGGTTCTAGGATCCCCTGGAACTGGAGTTGCAGATGGCTGTGAGCCGTCATGTAGGTGCTGGGAACTAAACATTGGTCCTCTGGAAGAGGAGCAGGTGCTTTAACCAGGGAACCCTCTCTCCAGCCCCTATCCTCTGTTTTTAATGATTTCTCTCATTAGAATAAAATCACCTAAACACACAGCTTTATCTTCATATCTTCACACCCTAGAACCCTGTCTGGGGTCAGGGAGAATTCAGGAAATGCTGAAAAAGAGCAACAGGACGGATGATTCTTAGCATGCCGCTGGATTCCCAGGAGGAGCGCTCTGACTGAGTTCATGTGTCAGCCAGCCACATTAGGCCAAGTCTATGTTCCGTCTTCAAGACAGGTGACACAAAGCCAGCGCACCTCCATCTACAGCGTGAAGCTAAGACCTTGGTGGCCACTAGGGGGATCAGCCAACCCTGAACTTCCTCCCTACAAGGTTCCTAGAGTGTCAGTCAGTTCAACTTCAAGCTGAACTCCGGAATCCATCTGCCTTTTTGAGTTTTAGCCCAGCTGGCATCTGAAAGCCCGCATCGCCCAGGAGGAGGGCACGAACCGCTATGTGGAAAGCTATGTCCAGACCATTTTGGAGGTGGAAGCTTGCCAAGCCGCTCTGTCCTTGAGGCTGCCCTAACTTTCGAAGCTTAGGTGGGAGCAGCTAGAATCTTCAACCACGGGAGAAACTGTCTGTGAAGGCAGGGTGGAGCGTCACCAGCAAGTTTCAGCATGAGCCTAAACAGATGTTAATGATATTATAAGCAGCGTTTGTATTACAACAGCGGGTTTACAGCTAATAGTGAAAGGCAGGAAAGGGGCCAGCCTGCTCGTATGTTCAGCTTAGCTCTAGTTAAGGAAATTAATGGGACCACAGAACAGATGCAGAATTGCTGCATTACTTATCTGTGATGTTATTTTCAGCCTTCTTGAGTGCTGCCTGTTTAACAAAATGAACGCTATCTGGCTTGAAT